GTTTCCATACCTGAGGTCAAGTGTGGCCTGAAAATATTAAATGGAAAATGCCATGAATAAACAACTTATAAGGTTTAAATAAGTTTTATTATAAAACATTATTAAAATTGCTCTATTTTATTATTAATTATTATTGTTAATTGGTTAATCTATAAATTAAACTTCACCACAGGTATGTATGTATAGGAAAAAACACAGTAAGTACAAATCTGGGTACTACTTGCAGTTGTAGGCATGCACTGGGGACCTTGGAACATACCTTCCAAGGATCAGGAAGACTACTATATTTAAATTCTGGATACCACATAAAGAGAGGTAAAAGGATTTGCTCACAATTGGAGGTACAGTGACAGAGAAAGAGGATAAATTCAGGTCAACGAGAATAGTGTTGCCATGTAGTAAAACGGGAAAGACTATATAAGGAGCAGTCCTTTAGTTTGAATCAGCACTTTCTAGGTGCCAGGCAGTGTGCTAGGACATTGTAGAGATAACAATGATGCAACCTCTGACTTTAAGGAGCTCACTGTCTAGCAGAAGATTAAGAAGAATGTGCAGATTCATTATTATCCAGTAGAGTAGACTCTTGTCTACTAAGAACTAAGAACTATACTATGGTAGCACAATGACACCAGCAGGTAGTAGATATGAGAAACAGGGAAGGATTCCTGAAGAAGCAGCAACTCCAAATAAAAGCATGAGTAGGAGTCAGTAATTTGAAATAAGCTTAAGGAAGTCTGTTTTATTATTATATTATTATTTTAGTCTGAGGATTGAGCCCTGGGTTGTTTACCACAAGCCACATCCCCAGCCTGTTTTATTTTTTTATTTTGAAACATTCTCACTAATTTGTTTAGGGAAGGCCTCACTAAATTCCTGAGGCTAGCTTTGAACTTTTGATTCTCCTGCCTCAGCCTCCCAAACTGCTGGGATTACAGGCATGTGCCACAATGCCTGGAAGTAAGTCTATTTAATTAATTAACTAATTATTAGTATTAAATTAAAACATTTAAATATATGAAGACACTATTGTATTCATTGGTGTTTTTCTTTTCCCTTTAGTTGTAGATGGACACAATACCTTTATTTTGTTTGTTTTTATTTTTATGTGGTGCCAGGGATCAAACCCAGTGCCTCATGCAAGTGCTCTACCACTGAGCCACAATCCCAGCCCCTCATTGGTATTTTTCATTTCCAAAATATTCATTAAAAGGTTAAAAATGAGGGCTGGGGCTGTAGCTCAGTTGGTAGAATGCTTGCCTAGAATATGTGAGGCACTGGGTTTGATCCTCAGCACCACATAAAAAGAATAAAATAAAATAAAGGTATTGTGTCCATCTACCATAAAAAAATACTTAAAAAAGAATGAGGTCTTGTTGATAATATTTTGAAAAATGAATTTATCTCTAGTGCCAAATAACATATTGAGATTACAAATAGTCTTGTGGTCTAAATTTGTTTAAACTATAGTCTGAAGTTCTTATGTTGTAAAAAGAAAAGTTCATATATGGTGACTTCAACCAAAAAGCCTATCAAAGATAATCGTAAAACAATGTAGCAACCATATAATCCAAAGATTAATATCCTCTAAATGGAATGTATCTTTTTCACTATTTGGTTGTGATATACTAGATACTGGGGAAGCAATGATGAAAGAAGTAGAAACATTTCTGGCCCTCCAGAAGTGTGCAACCTTCTAGGGAATACTGGCATTGAATGAGTAATTGCAGGCATAAGATAGACGTTTACACTTGGGGAGCTATCCTCTTGTAGAGGGATGAGATCTAAAACTTTTTTTTTTTTTTTTAACTCTCATCCTATTATAAGGGCACAGGGAAAGCCTAGGAAATAAATAAACAAAAGCATGAAGATGGCAAAGCTGAAGGCGAGCCGTAGCTTTCGATTTGGATAAGACAACTTCTCCAAATCTTCTAAGACTTCAGGTGCTTTCAAAAAGTAAATAAGATTTTATTTTTGCATATTCCTTTGTTTATATACCTAGACTTGAAATTAAGCTAAAAATCAGGACACGAGACCCCAGAAAACTCACAATCTAATTTCAAACAACCAAAAAAGTGCTTAGAACCTAAATGGGCAAAAGATTTCAACAGCAACAATAGCTCAGAGAATGTATGTTAAACCTCAGAATCCTAAGAAAATAGGATAAACATTATGTATCTGAATGTATTTAAAATAAGTTGCTGATTTAACCACACCAAAACAAGTTTGCTGATTTTAAGATACCTTTATGCCAGCCCTTCATAATGTCAGAGATCACTGCTCACCAAGAGGGAGCAGCCCAGGAAACAGAAACAGCATAAATGAAAATCTCACACATTCCTTTAATGTTGATAGAATTTCAGAGTAAAATAAGACAAAAATCACAGCAATGGAACAAAGCACTACTTTGTTTTAAAACTGCTCATGTGCTTTGTCCTTTGACACCTTTGTTTAGACAGAAGCCATTTCATTAACTATGGTTAGATTCTCAGTCTACTGATACACTCAATGACAATATTCTTATAAAGAACAGCCAACTATAAGTCCTTCCTTGGGTTTCTTTTCTGTGCTTTGTAAATATGTACATCTTTTTCAGGATTGTAGTGAACCTTACTCCCTGGAAAGGAATGGAGTTCCTACTAAATGGCTTGGCACCAAGAAGGAATCGGTAGTTAGCATGAGAGGACACCTATACCATAATGCTTCACCACAGCAATTGATACCACTAGCAGAAGTGGGCTTGGGAAAAGACAAAATTCACTTTTGGTAAGCACAGAACTCAGTGAACAAAAATAAAAGAACATGGGCATACTAGTATTGGCCCATTGGTCACAATTGCATTCCTTTTCCCCTCCCCTTGAATCACATGGTTGGTTTCTCTGAAACTATCTAGGGACCCACTAATAGTCCTCTTATTAGCATAAACTAGGGTATGGTTGAAAGGGGCTCATTAGAAATAACAAAAGATACTACCACTCATTAGAAATAACAAAAGATACTACCACTCAGGAAATGCCAACGGTTTTAGGAGCTGTGCCAAACACCAAGGACAAAGTCTACATATATGTTATTATACCACAAAAAGGACTTCTACAACTCAAGAACAAAAAAATCAATAACCTAATTAAAAAATGGGCAAAGGAGCCAAACATGGGGATGCAAAACTGCAATCCTGGCTACTTCAGAGGCTGAGGCAGAAGGACTGCAAGTTCAAGGCCCTGCCTGGGCAACTTAGCAGGACCCTGTTTCAATATAAAATTAAAACCAAAAAATGGTTGGAGGTATAGCTCAGTGGTAGGGCATTTGTGTAGTATTCATGTGACCCTCTGTTCAAGTCCTAGTACTGGGGGTAGAGGAGAAGGGCAGAGGACTTGAAAAGATATTTCTGCAAAAAGTTCATGAAATGTTCAATATCAGAAAAAGGCAAATCAAAACCACAATGAGTTATCATTTTATACCTATTAGGATGATTACTATCAGAGAACAGAAAATAACAGTGTTGGTGAGAATGTAGAGACATTAGAACTTCTGAACTACTGTTGTTGGGGATACAAATAGTATAACTGCTGTGGAAAACAGTATGAAGGTTCCCTCCAAAGGTAAACATAGAACTACACAAAATTCAGCAATCCCATTTCTGGGTATATAGCCCAAAGAGATACCTGCACACCCACGTTCATAGCATTACTATAAACAATAGCAAGAGGGGGAAGCAACCCAAGTATCCATCAACAGATGAATGGATAAACAAAACGTGATATATATATATATACACACAATGGGATATTATTCAGCTAAAAAAAAAATGTCACATATTATAACATGGATGAATGTTGAAGACATTATACAAAGTTAAATAAAAAGACCATTACTATATTGAGTCCACTTACATGAGGTACCTAAAATAATCAATTCTTTTTTTTATTATTATTTTTTTTTTTAATTTTTTATTGTGGGTTGTTCAAAACATTACAAATTTCTTGACATATCATATTCCACACTTTGATTCAAGTGGGTTATGAACTCCCACCTTCACCCCATACACAGATTGCAGAATCACATCAGTTACACATCCATTGATTTACAAATTGCCATACTAGTGTCTGTTGTGCTCCACTGCCTTTCCCATCCTCCACCCTCCCCCCTCCCCACCTCTCCCCTCCCCTCCCCTCCTCTCTCTCTACCTCCTCCACTGTATAACCCTGAGGGTCTCCTTTCATTACCAGGCAATTTCCCTTCTCTCTCCCTTTCCCTCCCACCTCTCATCCCTGTTAAATGTTAATCTTCTTCTCCTGTTCTTCGTCCCTACACTGTTCTTAGTTACTCTCCTTATATCAAAGAAGACATTTGGCATTTGTTTTTTAGGGATTGGCTAGCTTCACTTAGCATAATCTGCTCTAATGCCATCCATTTCCCTGTAAATTCTATGATTTTGTCATTTTTTAATGCAGAGTAATACTCCATTGTGTATAAATGCCACATTTTTTTTATCCATTCGTCTATTGAAGGAAAATAATCAATTCTTAAAGACAAAAAATAGAACGATGGTTACAAGGGGCTGGGGGAGGGGGTGGGGAGAAGGGATGTGAAATCAGGTCTGTAAGACAAAAAAGTTCTAGAGATATGTTTCACAATAATATGAATACATTTAACACACTATTAACTTACTTAAATGGTTAAGAAGATAAATTTTATGCTATGTGGTTTTCTATCACGTTAAAAAAATACGTCAGTGGGACTGGTGTTGTGGCTCCTGATAGGGCACTTGCCTCACAGGCCTGAGGCACTGGGTTTAGCACCACACCAAAAAATAAATAAGTAGATAAAATAAAGATATTGTGTCCATCTACAACTAAAAAAATTTAAAAAAAACCCACATCAGCAAACTGACTATATTCTTTGTAGCATTACTTTGTGCTACAATAATCTCTTCAGAGGACATATGAACCACAAGATAAATATTAAAACACAAAAACATTTTGTACCCAGAAAACCCCCCTTACCTGCAACAAATCCAACTACCAGATCTTTTCCAGTGGTAGAATGTTGACCTTTGACCCAGACTGCTTTGAGACTATTAAAAGTGTAGAAATAGACAAAATTGGAGCAGCAGAGACTGGAAATAACTGGAAACCACCCTCGATATGGTGCAAGGCTGAGGGAAAAATACAATAGGCAGAGTAAAGGTCATGGAAAAAAGCCATCAGAAACTGCCTGAGAAGTCCTAGCAAAGTCTGATGTCACTCACACAGTCTCAAGGTTCACTTCACATTATAAAGGACTCCAAATCACATACATATTTTATATTCTGAAGGATGTCCAAATCAAGAAATTCTTTTTAGCATTAACAATACCAAAGAAAAACCACTAAGACAATGTCTGAGCTACTGACTTCCTCCTTCAATTGTCTTTAGTAACATTAGTATGTAAAATTAGAGACAATTTTACCATGTCTATTAGTTGACATAGCATCATTCACATTTTATTATGGGCAATAACATTTAAAATTAAATAATTACAGAAAATAAGTACACACAAATGATGAGGGCATGTCATAAAGACAAGGGAACCAGACTGAAGGGGCTCCAACTGGCCAAATGGGGACAATTTGAGCCCTGAAGTAATAAAGTAATCAACTGTAAACCACTGAAAAAGTAGGAATTTATGGGTCCATACTAATAATTAATTACTTAATAAAAGTGGGAGGAGGGGCAAGCAGTAGAACAATAGAATACAGTAGAACACCAAGATGAATAAATATGGAAGCAATACTGAAGTTAGAAAATCATCATTTTAAATTCATGGTAAATTCAAGGTAGAAATTTTGGCAAAGAACAGGATATTTGCATTTGTCTTAAATATCTCCTCAAAAACTGCTTATATTTGCAAGAAAGGAAATAAACAATTATACAATGCCTAAATCAAATGTAAAAAATCATAAATAACCAATGGAGCCGGTAGATAATATATGACTCCAGATGTGATATCCTGAGAAAGACACTATACCAACTACACATTCCATTTGTTTGTTTTTTAAAGAGATAAATTTTTGCCTTGTTGTTCAGGCTGGCCCTGAATTCCTGGCTTCAAGTAATCCTGCTACCTCAGCTTCCTGCCTCAGCCTCCAGGGTAGCTGGGACCTCAGGTCCATGCCACTGGACCCAGTCACCTATTTGCTCATTATTCTGACCAAGAGTATATAACCTCAATCTAATCACTGAAGAGATATGAGGCAAACCTGAAATAAGAAACATTCTATTATTATTATTATTATTTTTGGTACTAGGAATTGAACCCAGGGATGCTTTTCCCCTGTTTTTTTTTTTTGTTTTTGTTTTTTGACACAAGGTCCTCCTAAGCTGCTGAGGGTCTTGGTAAATTTCAAGCTGGCCTTGAATTTACAATCCTGCCTTGGCCTCCCAAATCACTGGATTATAGGCATATACCATCATGCCCACCTTTGTGTGTGTGTGTGTGTGTATGGCGGAACTGTATTCTTTTTTTTTTTTTTTAATATGAATCTTTTTTGTAGATGGACACACACAATGCCTTTATTTTTATGTGGTGCTGAGAATCGAACCAGGGTCCCACCCGTGCTAAGCGAGTGCTCTACTGCTGAGCCACAATCCCAGCCTGGGAACTGTACTCTTTGAAAGTGTCAATGTCATAAGGGTTAAAACTCTTTGATGTTTGTAACTTGTTTTTTTTAAATTTGAATTTATTTATTCTTTATCTTTTATTGACTTTATTATTTTTTAAATACACGATAGCAGTGGAACACATTACAATTCTTATTACACATATAGAGCACAATTTTTCATATCTCTGTATATAAAGTATGTTCATGCCAATTTATGCCTTTATAATAATGTTTGTAATTTATTCTCAAATAAATCTGAAAAAATTTGTGTGGTATGTGTGTGTGTGTATATAATAAAAACAAGAGGGAGGAAGAAGAGTATGGGCACAAATGGTAAAATAATGGGAAAAAAGAGTAACAACAGTTGAATCTGGGTAAAGCATATACTGGTGTTCTTTGAATCAATTTTAGTTTTGTAACTTTAAAATTATATCTAAATAAAAACTTAAAAAAATAAGTGCTCAATCTACCTGAGTGAGTCCAATAGAAATGAACTAAACAATTATTATCTTTGGTTTATTATTAAACAAAGCACTGGTTTCCTGGAAGACTCCATGATCAAGAATCAAACAGCTGGGACTGGCAAGATGGCTCAGTGGTAAAGCACTTGCCTAGCATGCATGAGGCCCTGGGTTCAATCCCCATCCCACCTTAAAAACAACAGCAACAACAACAATGGTTAAAAAAAAAAAAAGAATAAAATGGCTAACTACTGATCTTTAAGGAACTGAAAGCAGCACACACTTATAAGACAGGCAATTACAAATTTATAAAACCTTTCATGAGGGCTATGAGAATGGAGAATTTATGTGTATTGGAGGCACAATCTCCTGACAAGTTGCTTTGTTTAACAAAGTTGTGAAAATGAGATGGTACTCACAGGCCTTCTTCTTTAATGATTTCCAGGAGCACCATGTGTGTAGTTTTGGACTTTCTTTTCTCATCAACTACAAGACCAGAGAATATACAGGTAAATTTTGAGAATATTATTTCCAGAATCAGCAAGTTTCACTAAAAATGCCATTCCACTGAGTAGTCTTTCATCTGATCCTTTTTGAGTTCCCTAGTTTCTCAGATCCTTCTGTGGTATCCCTGTGCTAAATCCCCAACTATAGATTCCTTGAATTTCATCCATTATTCATAAAGTATTTTTAGTTCAATTCCTAGTTTCCAAAGTGAAGATTTTCAAAGATTTTATTTATTTCTAAATAAAAACTTAAAAAAATAGAGCAGAAATTTATCTCATATTTTATACAGCTCTTGGTTTTTAAAAGTAATATACATATTCTTATTTTTAACCCTAACACTTTATAAAACAGAGAGGAAATAAATAATTATCTTCCTTTTACAAAAGAGGCTACAGACACAAAAGCAAAGTCAGAATTAAAACTCAAGTTTCCAATGTTTCAGGCTTGTGCTACTTTGTTTCCTTATCTTAAAAACAAAGAAATTTTAAAAACTCTTAAGAAAAAAGCTCTGTTTTTCCTACCATTCTCACTGAAAACAAAACTCCCTTCAATTGACTTCAAATTTCCTACCCATACTTAAAAAACAAATGGAGAACATAAATATATATGGTAATTAACCAATTTCCTAAGAATTGTGAAAATGAGATGGTACTCACAGGCCTGTATGTACCAGGTAGTGGTACATACATACTCACAGGCCTGTATGTACCAGTATGGCTCATGAAATAGCAAATTAGAAAATCCTTAATGAAGGTAATCTGACAGTAACTATCAATATTACAAACTCATTTACCCTTTGATCCAATAATTCCATGTCTGGGAATTTATTCCACAAAACTGACAGAAACAAACTGGCATATGAACATTTCTATTCTTATATCATATTTGTAATAAGCACCCAAGTATCCACAGTAGGGGAAGGGTAAACAGGCTATGGTGCATCCATGCTATGGAATGCTCTACAGCTCTAAGGATTAAGAAGTTGCTTAAGTGCAGATCTGAAAAGTCTTTAAAACATATTATTAAGTTTAAAATTCAAGATACAAAATAGTATGTAAGGTGTACTTTTTGTGTAAGTTAGGGAGAAAATTAGGATTATATATTATTCCATAAATAAAATCTTCAGGGCTATTCAGAAAACTAGGAAAGGCTACCATTACTCAGTCTCAAGGTTCACTGCTACTCTACAGTGGACTCCAAATCCTAAACATTCCTATTCCCTTTTTCTTCCCCCTCCTTCCTTCTTCTCCCTCCCTCCTTTCCTTCCTTCCTTTTTCTTTTTTGGTACTGAGGATTGAATCCAGAGGTGCTTTACCACTGAGCCACATCCCTAACTCCTTTTTTATTTTGAGACCAGGTCTTGCTAAATTGCTGAGGCTGGCCTCAAATTTGTCATCTTCCTGCCTCAGCCTCCAGAGTCGCTGGGATCTTGCTGTACTGCCCAAGCTGGCCTCTGAACTCCTGACTCAAGCCATTCTCTTGCCTCAGCCTCCCAAGTATTGGGGACTACCGGTGGTCATTACAACAAGCAGTGCTCCCTCTTACATTCTGAAGAACATTCAAATTGAGAAATTTTTTCTAGCATTGCTGATTCCAAAGAAACAACACAAAATCAATGTTGACTATAATAAAGAAGAAACAGGGTAAAGGCAGACAAGAGTGAGTTTTCTGTGTACTATATACCATTTTATTTATCTTGCCTTTTGAATTACAAAAAATTAATGCCTATACAAAAACTCTAAATTGACTCTCCATTCTGTTTCCTTTGAAAAGTCAGATGGTACTGGGGGTGTTACATTTGCCTAGCATGTGTAAGGTTCCATCCCTAGCATCCCCCAAAAAAGTTATATGGCTTATTAGAAAAAATCGTAATGATTCAAAATTATGCAAGCCCATTCAGGTTCTCTCAGATTAGAAAATGGCAAAGGCTATGACTCATCTATATATGATCTTCGGCTAATTAGGAAACAACAATGATGACCAGCAAAGTCAGTGAAAGCAGACTTCTGTGGGATCTCTACAAAAACAGAATCTCCTTACCTTAATAAAGAATTCTAAAGAAATGTTTGCTTCCTAATACCAAATGAACAGAAATATAATTAACACTCACCCTGAAGACGAAGTCTAGCTGTGTCCAAGGGAAAAAACACTGTCATTGCAGTCACACTTCCCTGAAAAGTTTGAAAGAGGTTTTAGCTATTACAGTATCACAAACACAATGAGCCACAATTTCTTTTTTTTTTTTTATTTCTTTTTGCCCAGTACTGGGGATTGAATCCAGGACCTTTCTAGGCTAGGCAGGTGGTCATCTCTGAGCTATATCCCCAGAGGTTTTCAAATTTTATTGAGACAGGGTCTCATGAAGTTGACCCAGCTGGCCTCAAACTTGTGATCTTTCTGCCTCAGCCTCCCAAGCAGCTAGAATTACAGGAATACACCACACCAGGAGCACCAACTTTTATTTTCACTTTATTTATTTATTTATTTAGGAACCATGGATTGAACCCAGGGGTGCTTAACCACTGAGCCACATTCCCAGCCCTTTTTATTTTTTTATTTTCAGACAGGTCTCACTAAGTTGCTTAGGGCCTTGCTAAATTGCTGAAGCTGGCTTTGAACTTTTGATCTTCTGCCTCAGTTTTCTGAGTTGCTAGGATTACAGTTGTGCTCCACCACCCCCGGCAGCCACAACTTTTAAATGAACAAAAGCTCATTATTACAAATTGTTCAAACCAAATTTTCAGTGAACACATAATTTTTTTTTTTTGGTACTGGAGATTGAACTCAGGGGCACTCGATCCGATCACTGAGCCATATCCCCAGCTTGATTTTGTATTTTATTTAGAGATAAGGTCTCACTGAGTTGCTTAGCACCTTGCTTTTGCCGAGGCTGGCTTTGAACTTATGATCCTTCTGTCTCAGCCTTCTGAGCTGCTGGGATTACAGGTTTGCACCACGATGCCTGGCTGAACACATAATATTTTAATCCATTTGGATTATTTAAATTAAAATTTAGATAATTTTAAATTTCTACTGTCTTATGCTTAAACAATATAATTTAATTTTCCAGACAAGATCTCATTTATCTCTCTGATACTTAAAAAGAAAATGTAGTAAGTGGTAAATGGATTTTAAATCTTTTGCAGGTTAGTTGCTGATACCATGAGCACTCTTATGCCCTCCAAAGCTGAAATATTCAGTAGTTAAATAGATACACACTTCTATTTTCTGTGCTTAATCAATATATTCACCATAAATTAAAAAGGCATGTAAGAATCATACTATTCTTTAGAGTTTTGAGCTGGGTTCGGTGGTATACACCTGTAACCTTAACTACTAAGGAAGCTAAGGCAGGAGGATTCCAAGTGTGAGGTCATTCTGGGCAATTTAGTGAAATACTGTCTCAAAATAAAAGAGCTGGAAGTATTGCTCAGTGGTAGAGTCTTACATGCATGAAGCCCTGGGTTCAATTCCTAGTACTGAAAAGAGAAAGAAAGGAAGGACAGACCCCAAAATAGTTTTTTCTTTGTTGGTATTTTAAATAAAATACAATATATAAATTTTCCCAAGGTAATGCAATAACACAAATTATCAGCCTTTCCATTCATAAGACATTAAAACAGACAAAAAAAACAGAAGCACCTATTTAGGGATGAAATTATACACATGAATCTTCCAGTTCAATTTCTGGTTTTCAACCCAGATGCAACCCCACTGGTGTACAGTCTCAGGCATAAAATCAAGTTTTAGGGGGCCGGGGTTGTGGTTCAGTGGTAGAGTGCTCGCCCAGCATGCATGAGGCACTAGGTTCAATCCTCAGCACCACATAAAAACAAAATAATGTGTCCACCTAAAATGAATAAATAAAATGAAACTAAAAAAAAATCAAGTTTTATGTCAGTGATCTAACAATATTTACATGTAATATTTTAATCATAGCAACTAGAAACTGTGTGAACTTTAAAGATAAGTGTGAAAATTTGCTGGACGAATAGGTCAGTTTGGCCAGGTGCAGTGGAGCACGTCTGTAATCCCAGCAGCTCAGAAGGCCGAGGCAGGATGATCAAGAATTCAAGGCCAGCCTCAGCAATTTAGTGAGGCCTTAAGCAACTCAGTGAGACACTGTCTCTAAATGAAATAGAAAAAGGGTTGGAGATGTGGCTTAGTGATTAAGAATCCTTGGGTTCAATCCCTAGTATGCCCCCCACCAAAAAAAATAGGCCATCTTGCTTGACAAGAGAAAACATTATAATATTATTATTATTATATTAGTATTCTATGAAACTCAGATAAAATGTTACCTCCTCTTTCCCATCAGGCTACAAGGTTGTTCGGCTCCCTAGGTTCTCTCTTACAGCACTTAATATTACAGTTAAATCTAACAACTCTTCTATGTTGTGAGAATATTCGTTCTGTACATTGGCACATCATAGATTCTCAATTAAACATTTATTTAACTCACTGTACTTTTAGTTATTTATGCTTTTTTTGATGACTTCAAAATAAATGTCTTTTTCTAGTAATAACTGGATGATACTCAATGTCTTAGGAAACAATGGCCCACATAGACCCCCCCCCCCAAAATTTATAAATCCATGATTCCTGCATCTTTGCTCACTTTACAAGCAATTTTCAAGAAAAATGGGGCTCAGAAGTCAGAGAAACCTTATAGTATTTCTTAAAGCTGTGTGATGAATGCCTGGTCGCGTGGTACTGCATGATTATGCAGTATACTGCCTGGATAGGTCATCTCCAGGCCTACAAAGAGCTTTTTAAATAATTTGGCCACTTCCATTTCTCTTCTCTGCCAACTTTAAAGAGAATTCCTAACTTAGAAGCTATACCTAGTGAAACACCGAGAAAAGTCAACAGTCAGCTTATTGGTTTATTTACCTCCTTGAAAACTGGCATACAAAAATTCAAATCAATAAAATGAAATAAACTGGGCATGGTGACTCATTTCTGTAATCTCAGAGGCTCAGGAGGCTAAAAGGTTTGCAAGTTTGAAGCCCCTCTTAACCATTACTGCAAGTGAAACTTTAAAAGATTACCAAAGTTGGGCATCTAGGTTGGTTCCACAGTTTAGCTACTGTGAATTGTGCTGCTACAAACATTGATGGGGCTGTGTCCCTGTAGTATGCTATTTTAAGTCCTTTGGGTATACACCAAGGAATGGGATAGCTGGGTCAAATGGTAGTTCCATCTCCAATTTTCCAAGGAATCTCCATACTGCTTTCCATAGGGGCTGTACCAATTTGCAATCCCATTAGCAATGTGTGAGTGTGTCTTTTCACCACATCATTAACAACACTTATAGCTGCCATTCTGACTGGAGTGAGATGAAATCTTAGAGTAGTTTTGATTTGTAGCACAATTCACAATAGCTAAACTGTGGAACCAACCTAAATGCCCTTCAGTAGATGAATGGAAAAAGAAAATGTGGTATACATACACAATGGAATATTACTCAGCAATAAAAGAAAAAATCATGGCATTTGCAGGTAAATGAATGGAGATGGAGAATATAATGCTAGGTGAAGTTAGCTAATCTCAAAAAAACCAAATGCCAAATGTGTTCTCTGATAAAAGGAAGCTGATTCATTGTGGGGTTGGGATGGGGAGCATGGGAAGATCAGACGAACTCTAAATAGGGCAAATGGGTGGGAGTGGAAGGAAGCGGGTACAGGGATAGAAAAAATGGTGGAATAAGATGGACATCATTACCCTAAGTACATGTATAAAGACACAAATGGTATGAATATACTTTGTATACAACCAGAGATATGAAAAATTATGCTCTATATGTGTAATATGAATTGTAATGCATTCTGCTATCATATAAAACAAATTAGAATAAAATTTAAAAAAAAAATTTCTGTAAACCTTGAAAAAAAAATTACCAAAGACAGGGCTGGGGATATAGCTCAGCTGGTAGTGTGTGTCTTTCCCACATGCACAAGGCCCTGGGAGGAGGAGGAGGAGGAGGAGGAGGAGGAGGAGGAGGAGGAGGAGGAGAGGAGGAAGGAGAAGGAGGAGGAGGAGAAGGAGGAGGAGGAGGAGGAGAAATAACAATAATAATGAAAATTTTTTTGTGGACTACTCTGAAGACAAAACATATAGTCCAGTGTAGTGTATGTCCTGAACTTGTTAATAATGAAATGTATGAAAATATGCCCCTTCAAATAAACAATTTTGACTATCTATCAAAATGTACTCCAAATCCTTAAAGTAATTTTAAAACAGGGGCATTTGTACATCAGAGACTTGCTATATTTGTCTCTTAGCCAAGCAAACACAAAGATGTCTTTTTATAAGCAGCTGTTACCTGAAGCAAAATATTTAATACATATGTGAGTTTTATGCCAAGCTGTATAAGCACATGATTTTTCAGAATTTGAATTAAATTCCTCTTAACATAAATACTCAATGTTTTTTCCCCTGAGGACTGTTAGCACTCATACAAAATTAGAAGGCACAAAAGTCTAACATAATAACCACAATGTACAACACTTGTGCCAGAGAGGTGTAAAATAAATTTTTAATTTTAAGTCCCACAGAATTAGAACCATGTGAGTGGGAGTTCTATTGTTGACAATAATTATAATTTCTAAACACCCTTCTAGTTACCAAAAATATCTTTAGTTATAACATTCTGTCTCCTCCTTGTGCATTTAACCAGTTTGTGTTGAGAGAACAGGTTAATTGCAACACAGCACTGGCACTTGGACCAGTGGAGTCCCTTCAGCGGGAAATGAGCAGAGTAGGGCTGGCATGTAGTGGGCAGCCCAAAGCCAGAGTGTTAGAGTCAGGGTTAGAACCAAGCTCTCCTTGACTCCTACCTAGTTCTAGTACTTCTAGTCCTACTCCAGTTCTCAACCTTTCTTCAACCAAGAGACACATGAATTTTAACTTCACTCTTCTCTTCCACTCATAAAAGTATACAAAATAAACACACACAAAAAAACCAAACAAATAAACAAAAAAAAAAAAAAAAACGGGAAAATGAAATAACCCCCTAGTAGTAGCTACATCCATTTCCTATGCATTGCATCTCTATATAATTTTTTTTTTTAACAAAAAGCATGTGTTTGTTTTAGTTTTAAAATGGGAGAAAAGCAAAATCTCTTCTTGCATCGAAAAAATATTTAATTTGTAGAAAATTGTATATACC